TATATGTTGATATCAATTATAATTAAGGACCTCATCGTACCATTACCATGCATTATGGATTGTAATTACCAGCAGCAAAGTACATATCCTGAAGCAAATATTCCATTCATAATATAAATTCCGTTTTCTTTCGAGTACAACTATAACAGCAAGTTCACATTTTCAAATTCACTATACTTACTGCATATTCACAGGGTCACTGGAAAAAAATACATCATTCCCACAGTTTCCCATCTCAAAGAAAATTGACCCGAGACAAAATTCTACTCGACTTTCCCGTTCATATTCCAGTTAATTCTAGTTCTCATTCCAGCTATCACTTACTCTAGCATTGCAATCTTAAAACAATGTGACTATGACACAATTCATCGTGTATGGAAATCGTCTGTTTGTTTGTCTGAGGAGTTCATGACTTCCGTTTTCCGAGGATGATTCATGTTTTGAGGGGGGACTATAAGGCGTAATTGTTCGTTTTCAGCCGCGCTTTGTGTATCTATATCCTTATACTTGCTCTCTATTTATGTCTCTTTTTTCTCTCTCTCCACGGTGCATATGTGTATTTGCAGACTGCACAGCCTTGTATATATTGTGCACTTCTTGGTCTATCTGTCTGTCTGGTGATCGGGGTTCTACCCTAAACTGGATACTGTACATAATAGAGCTTTAAAAGCATATTTAGGCGTTCATAAACACGGCTCTTCAAGGAGAAATGGGACTTGAGCCATCTGTTTGAAGGAAGATAGAACAAGTCGTATCGTGTCACTTTAATAAATTAAAGAACTGAATTGAAATGTCTGTCTTTGTCTCTGTTTTTCTCTCTCACTCTCCCTCCTTCCCTCCCATAAATCTCTACATACGTATACATCTGCTGTGTATAATATAAGAGAAATCTATCTGCCTACACGGCGAGTGAAAATGAAGTCAATTGTAATTACAAGAGTTCTTACATCCGGTAGTTGGCCTAACAGCTGCGGCTAACACCCACCTCATGTCGCTCTCTGCACTGCTCTTGGCTTCATGTTTCGCCGTGTCACAGGATTTGGGTTTCTTTCAACCACTGCAGCAGGATATTGCTGTTTATTATTGCTATTATTATTATTTTTATTATTATTATTATTATTTCCACTTTTTTTCGATAAGGAGTTTTATTCCTTCGAAAAAACAGTAAAACAGTATTAGTAAAAACAGTATAATTCTTTTTTATGTCTACTGCTTTCTTCGTCGCAGATTTTGGTTTCTTCAAAGTACAGCAACCGGATATTATTATTGTTTATATATATATATATATATATATATATATATATATATATATATATATATATACATACATATATATATATATATATATATATATATATATATATATATATATATATATATATTTATATATATATTTTTTTTTTGCCAATGAATTTATTTTTTGAAAGCACATCAGCAGGATATAATTGTTTTTATTTCTATTGCTTTTTTCACGAAGGACTTTTATTTTTTCAAACACCGCAGCAGGATATTGTTTTTTTTTCATTGTTTTTTTTTCACCAAAGACTTTTATTTCTTCAAAGCAAAGCAATAAGATATTATTATTTTTTAAATTTCTACTGCTTTTTCGCTCCTGAATTTTATTCCACCAAAGCACAGCAAGATATTTTAATGCCTAATGCCTCTTTTCACGGAATGATCATGGTGATTCTTTTTTTGTAATATCAAGTGAAATTATATTCTCTCTTTCTTAAAACAACCGTGCTTTTGCAACAATCACGGTAACCGCTCTTCTGCCTTCAAGCAAATCTCAGACCAAAGTACTCTCCTAAGTCCTTGATAAACGTTCTATACACAATTTCCTGAGCTTTGAGTAGACCGCAAGACCGTAATATTGTTCTACTTATTTCTATATTCCCTGTTTTTATTCTTGTAATCCATATTCTCATAAAATTAACTAATCCCAAAGCGCTATGGATGGAATGATAGATAGCTATCTATATATACACACATATATATATAATCCATAATCTCATAAGATTAACTAATTCCAAGGCGCTAAGAATAGAATATCTATTTCTATAAATATTTTTCTTTACACTCTCCAAAGACATTTAACAAAACCACATCGCGCTTAAACCTACATTTCCTTCCCATCACATAAAACTGAGAATGCTTATGCAATGATCATTCTGAAGTAGGTTAATAACATGTGAAAATGGTATACAACACTCATTGTCTCTCTTGACTTCTATTTAGGTTATGCACATCATGCGTCATTTAATTCTGATGTCACATATAATAAAAACGATCAGGATTTTGTTTTTTATGTCTCGTGAAAATTAAAATCGATGATTGAAAATTAACGCGGTGAATGGATATCATTAAATATAGGTAATGAGTTGTGAATGTGAAAATCATCAATAAGTTATCGAAATTTATGTATGAGGCAATCAGTGATAAACGCAAGTCCTAGGAAGAGTAAATTAACATGTTATTGCAGTATAATGTGCTATGGCATGAACATAAGAACACATGAACACACAGACAGACACACCGACAAACACATGCAAATGGATGGACTGACGGATAGACACACACACTATACATGTATCTCTATTTACTCATCTAAACATATAACCCGAAGGCAAGAAGGCATACATGATCATCTCAAGAAAGTCCTTCATAGACCTCGCTACCCGTTACCCAAATGTCAAAAAAGATGGAAAGAAAAAAATAGAATAAAAAAAAAAAATTGTCATCGCCTCCTTCTGCCTGTCGACGCAATGTTGACAACAGGTGTTCGTTTACTTGAAGAGAATTCGAACACTTTCATTTCCTATTGCCTCATTAAGACACGAGTTTTTTTTTTGCGTATTCATTTTAAAAATCGTTGGTTTTGTACTTTGGTTCAAACTTATAGGGGTCAGGAATATGTGACATGAAGAAGAAAGAAAGAAAAGGGAAATAAAGAAGAAGGATAAAAGGCAAACAACATTAATGAAAGTCTGGAAATATGTGACCTGAAGAAAAAGAAAGAAAAGGGAAATAAAGAAGCAAACCCACACTAATAAAGGCCCTGAAATATATGACCTAAAGAGAGAAAGTAAAAAAGAAGAAAAAGAAAAAGAAAAAAACAAGAAGAACAAAAACGGGAAGAAAAAAAACCTGGAATGTAAAGATGCAGGTCAGGTGAAAAGGGAAGAGATATGGCCCGCGATCTGCATAAACCCCGATGTTCCCAGGGGAGGCCTATAGGTACCTGCTAACGGGCGTTGTCCATTAGTTCTTTATCCACTAACCACTTTGCAGTCTCCGCTCACTACCTGTCTCTTGTTCCCCCAAAAGATGCGCTATCCAGATAAAATTTACAAAATTAGTTCTACACGGCAGGGGGTCCGTGGTCTGTGTGCGGAATTCGGTCAGATGCCATATGTCTTTGTCCAAATGAGTATTTCTCTGGTATGCCTTGATCGATTTCCGTCACATATGCTTTTTCCCTTCATTGCGTCCGTTTTCCTTTTTCTCTTCTTTAATAATTCCCTTCCGCATTTTTAAAGGCTGATATACATTTTTAAAACATGCCAATACTCTCAGGGAAAATAAAATCAATGAATCAATCAGTAAAGCAGGTACTCGGAAATGCCCACAAGGAAAACTTTAATCCTACGACGTGAACTGAACACTTCCATGATTCTTTGGACTAATCTTGCTTAGGGAGAGATGGAAGGAGCAGAGTTAGTGAGGTAGCGCGTCTGCTCAAAACTCATAAATAGAAACCATAAGCCGCTCAACCGGACCACATAAGTTAAGCAAGCAGTGTAAGGACCAAAGTCGCTTCTCTTGAAGATTCCTCGGTTTGTTAAAATGCGAATTATCTTTCAAAAAAAAAAAAAAAAAGAGAAAAACATCCTCACACACCGTAACATAACCACTCTCTTCGACTCCCTTCTGTAACGCATCACTATACCTCACCACATGCAAACACCATTCTATCATTAACATACAATATATATATATATATATATATATATATATATATATATATATATATATATATATATATGTGTGTGTGTGTGTGTGTGTGTGTGTGTGTGTGTGTGTGTGTATGTATGTGTGTGTGTGTGTGTGTATACATATAACATATACATGTGTGTGTGTATTTCACCGTAATAACCCCTTCCATATCTGAAATAAAGGAGCTTGAGCTCATAAGCGAGCGAATAACACCCCCGACGTCATCCCAAGCGGCAGATGGCGCTGAGGCGACGCTTGAATAACGCTCCCCCGCTGAGCTTTCTATAGTAGCCACATCTGAAGGATATTGACGATTGTTACGACATGTGGACAGTCATCGTAGTTCAGTCATGCTTCATAGATCACAAAGGCGGTTAGAACTGCGGCGAGGGAAATCTACATGTAATAAGCATTTACTGTGGTGGGCGAACTGCAGGAAAGTTGTCTAAGTGCATAAGTAGATGGCAGTTGTTAACTTGTTCTCTTGGTAGAGGATTTATGGTAATAGAGGTCGATTCGATACACATGCTGATATGTGCACATTGGTGAAGACGGAGTTTCTATTTTTACGCATTTTTGTTTGTGGCGGGTAATTGTTTTGATATAGTAATTATGGTTTAAATCAGTACAAACGTTTTTGAAAACCTACGCAAATCAGAAGAGGGATTTACGTTCTATTTGTAGATATTTTTGTTTCTCTACGATGAATAGGCCTACTTTGATCTAATAAGTTTAATAAAAGTCAGCCAACGCATGTATATTAAACACACAAGACTAAAATAAAATTATGGCTAAAATACCAAGTACATAAAACCAGAACATTCGACCCAAAATACCAAATCCAGAACAAAGCCATCCGAACATAACAAGACAGCAAAATCGGACACAGAATCGGACACAGCATCAATACGACACCACCGATACAACTTTTCTATAAACACAACACACAACGCAAACCACCATACTTCCTTCAGAACCAAAAGCGTAAGAAAAATAAACCTTACCCATCATAACGTTGGTGTTTGATACAGAAGCTTCGGCGAGATTCCATGGTGTCGACGGGGGGGAGGGCGGAGGGGGGAGGGAAGGCCCCGACGGAATGGCTGGATCCGTTTCTCATGCTTGCTCCCGCTCACTCTCGCTTTCTTGTGCTTGTTACGTTCCTACGCAATTATCTGAATTATGTGTTTCTTCGGGGGGTTTTTGAATCGATCTTTCTTGAAGGTTGTCGAGGAGAGAAAAAAAAGAGAGACACTTCACTGGAGTTCATCAAGCTTTCTCTTCCTCTTCCAGCACTTTTTTTCAGCCTAATGTAAGGTTCTAAACGTCATTCCACTCAGTTCTCTTAATCCGTTTGTTTTTTCTCCCGAAAGTTTATGCAGTCATTCCGCAAAGAAGGAAATAAATCGTAATCGTTCAAGCTGAAACCCGAAAAGAAAACGTAAAAAAAATAACTCAAAGAAAATGGGATGTGTTCGAGAGGCCTTATGATAACACCCAAAGATCCCGAAGTTGCGTTGGTTCTTGTGATGATCTGTGTCTATTTACAGCACCGGCGAATATACGAACGCAAAAAAGAGTTGATAATAAAGCTACTTATCGATATCCAAGAACCCCTCAAGTGAGAATACCCGAAGAACAGGATCTTGAGGAAACTGACCTTCGGAATTTCCAGTTGCCACAATTTTCCTCTTTATTTAAGTCTCAGTTATCGGTATCTGCCTTTCTTTACGATTGCCGATTCTAAATGAGGTACATAACAAGTTTTACTGCAAATACGTCTTTGTGTGCGCCCGCGCCCGCACACGCACACGCACACGCACGCGCACACGCACACGCACACACACGCCGTTATCACTATAGCCTCTCCCTCTTGGTCTAAAAACACATACAAAACCAGTCTTCCGCAACGGCCATATTTTACATTTTGGCTCAAGGATTATATTAAGAGCGGCTGAAGTTACTCAACTCTGCATTGGATAACTCTCACGCATGGCGACCAGGCACCGTTCTTCTAACTGAAGCCTTGTTCGGCCTCTAAGAAAGAATACATAGCTGTTTATCTTATTTTCTCTCTCACTCTTTCGCATCGCATGAACACAAACATTTTGCATAAAGCTGCAATTAGCTTTCTTGATTGCATAAGTTATGTGCGTGTCAAGAGTGTGTGGTGTTGAGAAACAGGACAGAAAACTGATATTAACTTCTGAGAATGCAGGGAGAAAGATAACAGGAAATAAAAGAGAGAGAGAAGACAAGGAAAGGTGGAAGGAGAAAGCAAAAGAAAGAGAGAGGGCAGGATGGAGTGTGTGGGCGAGAGTGAGTGAGTGCGTGAGTGAGTGAGTGAGTGAGTGAGTGAGTGAGTGAGTGTGAGTGTGTGTGTGTGTGCGTATGTGAGAGAGGGAGAGAGAGAGAAAGAGAGAGAGAGAGAGAGAGAGAGAGAGAGAGAGAGAGAGAGAGAGAGAGAGAGAGAGAGAGAGAGAGAGGGAGAGAGAGAGAGAGAGGGAGAGAGAGAGAGACAGAGAGAGAGAGGGAGGGAGGGAGATAGATAGATAGAGAGGGAGATAGATAAATAGAGAGAGAGAGAAAGAAAAAGAAAGAGAGAAAGCGAAAGATGAAGCGAAAGAGAGAGTGCGTGTGTGTGACTGAAAGTAAAGGTTACGACACGTGGAGTCAACCGAGATAACCTTTGCCGTGAACGCGTGGAAGTTGAGGAAGAAGAAAGTGCAGGAGGCTTACGAAGCGGGAAGGACGATACGGAAGTGGAATGCAAAAGAAGCCTGATTTAAATGACAATATCCCTTGAGTAAACGCATTCGGGGTTTCCAAAGTAAAGGCAACTGCGCTCAGAGTTGAATACAGTATTTGAACTGGATAAATGCAAAACTTCAAACTACAAACAATCGAAAATTACGATCACAAATATTCTCACACTTTGTATAGAACAACTGAAGTAATCGAATGGTTCAT